AGCTAAGGTTTTGTATTTTTAGTAGAGACGGGGTTTCACCATGTTGACCAGGATGGTCTCGATCTCTTGACCTCGTGATCCACCCGCCTCGGCCTCCCAAAGTGCTGGGATTACAAACTTGAGCCACTGTGCCCGGCAAATCTTACCATTATTTTTGGAAAAAGAAGGATCAAAAAGAAAGAGGGAGTAGACCAAAGTTTTCCTTCAGCAAAGAATGCAGAACATAGTCTAAGTGTGGGTGAATAGATCCAGTTTTGCTTATATCTAGTTATGGCCAAAGCACCCTTTCAGGACACTGTTTTGCAAATGTTATGCGATCTCATGGGTAAGTTTTCTTTGCCAACCTTTCACTTGTTAAAGAAAGTAATAGATTTCTCACAGTGAATTTAATCATTAGGTGATTTGGGAGGGAAGGAGATCACAGCCATTGAGTACACTCAACAGGGATCACTCGGACCATCACCTGTCTTGCTGCTGCAGCTGCTGTGTGTGATTCATCACGGACAGGCTGCTGGAAGACAGTGTCAGTGAAAGAGTGTCACACAGAGATTGTCACACAACCACATGGAGAATGCCTCATGCAGTGCAGCAGCTGAGCAATGGCTTTGAAGATGGCCTAGGTGTTCAAACTGAATCTTGGCCAAAGCTCTTTTTACACCATGCGTATATTTTTTTTCACTAAAAATAGAGGGCTACATTGTGCAAGGCCTGGAATGATTAGAGATGTGTTTGTTCATGGCCTTCAAGCCCCTGGAAACTCTCTGAGCCTGAAGACCTCGTCCCCTCGCCCTGCATTCTCCAGCCCTGCCCCTTACCCTTGACCAGAGCAGCTCAGGCTCCAGCCACCTGCCAGAGACCCAGCAACGGGGCCCTGTGTGAGCCGGGTCCGCCCACACACCATTCACTTGCTTGCTTTCAGGTACAGATGCTATTTCCAGCTTCCAAGATAGCATACGGAAAAACCCCCAATCAGAAGGCTTTATCGCACGGCTTTTTGTAGAGCACACAGCTCAGGGTATCTTCCCAGCTCTGGGGAAATCTGAGAATTTTGACTGCTGTTGCATTGATTGTACTCCCAGCTGATTCTTTGCTCACCTTCTTTCTGTCTGCTTCTCAGTGATTCCCCAAGTCACAGAACTTTACAGCTGGCAGAAACTTTAAAGACCAAGTGTAAAATCTCACCGAGTTTCAGAAAGAAAACAAAAGCTGTGGCTTTGGGCAGCACAGTGTCTGGCAGGACAGAGGCCATTTCCACCTGCCACACCCAACCTTCTCCCCCGGCTCCTGGAGCTGATTCCTTCTCCACCACAGCCCGTGTCTACCTCTGTGTCTGTGACCAGAGTCAGGAAGACTGTCTTCAGAGATGTGCTAGCCCCTCTACTCCACCTTGTCAAAGATGCTGGCTTCAGAGTCGGGCATCTGCACTTGACCCGGGCTGCGGAAACTTGGACCATTAACTTAACCTCCCTGAGCCTCATTTACTCATCAACACAACAGCTATGAATGCCTCGGTCACAGGCTGGTCAGCAAGAGTAACTGACATGATACACAGGAAGGTACTCAGCACACAGCCAGCACTCTGCAAACACTTGTTCCCTCCCGGCTGAGCAGAAGAGGCCTGGCTAGCCTCACTTCTCATCACAACTAGCAAGTGTTAGGACAGTGCCCCTGCCAAGGGCCCCCAGACCAACCCTCCAGGGGTTTTTATGCCTCAGACGCCTCATTTGCATGCCCTAGTTGGAAACTGCTTGGTGGAGGAATGGAATGTTCTGGCCTCACTGATTTGATTTTCAAATCACTTCAATCTGAGCAATATCCTCCCCCCAAGGCAGAGTCTCAACACTTGATTACACCTATGGACCCGGCCTAGAGATTACGGGACACTGAGACTGGAGGGAGGGAAGGGGATCACCCCACCCTTTCCACACCTTACTCCCAGTAGGCAGGTTTCTAGAAGCTGGGTTAAGAAGCTGCAGATTTGGAGAGATGTCAGAGGTGGGAGAGGGCAGGATTCCTGCTCTGGCGGGGGTCGGGGGAGGATGTCGTGTGTGCTGGTAGAGTCTTGGTCCCTGTTTCTTACACCAGTTGGCTCTCTCAGGCTTCTGTCCCCAGGGAGAAGAGCTGCCACATCAAGCCTCAGGAACTCTCCTTTGACCCTGAACTGCCCAATTCCCTTCTTTCCTGACGATGCCAGCAGAGGGCACCAGGAGCCACGCAGGAGCTGCGGGACATCCTGGCCACAGGGATGCCGCCCTCAGCCAGCCTCACCTGCGAATGGAACAGGGGGCCGCCTGGCTGCAGCGATCCCTCAGAGAGCGGTCCCTGCTGCCTTGCACAAACCTGCCTCTGAGATCAGCCGTCCTTTCATGGAGAGCAGGTCTCAATTTCCAATTCTTCTCGGGACAGGAAGCAGAGAGACTTGTGGGCATTTATGTGGAATTGCAACTGAGAAAATTGAGGCTCAGAGTGTTTAAGTCACTTGCCTGACATCATCCAGCTGGTAAGTGACACCACCAGGGTTTGCGCCCAGATTGGCCTGACTTCAGAGCCACACTGTTCTCAGCACTGCTGTTCTGTCTGATTAGGAATGGTGCGTCTTAGACAGCAGGCTCCCCGGAGAAGGTAGCAGGCCCTCTGAGAGGAGGTAGTAGGGCCTGTCCGTCAGCCTGCCCCAGCCCCTCTCCCAGGCTCCACCCATATCCTCCTCTCCTCGGGCCATCTTATCATGGAAGGGCTGAACCTCCCTGACGGTGCCATCCTGCTCCCAGCCCAGAAAGCCTCTTTGAACAGAGTCGCCTTCCCCTCCATTCAGAGGCTTCTTAGCTCTGGAACAAGGAAAAAAATTAAATGATTCCCAGAACATTGTGTGCAATGGAGGCACCAAGTTACTGTTGGAAACCATGGCTGTGATGCTGTGGTACACTGTTCCCTGAGAGCGAACCCTGAGCCACCAGGATGTGGGTGGCAGATGTGACGATCCCGCAGATGGGCTGCCACAGTAGGAAACCCAAGGGCAGCTCTGTCCACGTGCCCCTGGTGTACCCCTGGGTAAGAGTGGGGCAGAGGCTGTGCACTGGGTCTGAGGCCTTAGGAAGCCCGTCTTCCTTATGTCCCTCTTCAGGGCACCTTCGGTCTCAGGTGAGTGAAAAGTGAATTGGAGCGCTGGGTGCAGTGGCTCAGGCCTGTAACCCCAGCACTTTGGGAAGCCGAGGCGGGCGGATCATGAGGTCAAGAGATCTAGGCCATCCTGGCCAACATAGTGAAACTCTGTCTCTATTAAAATACAAAAATTAGTTGGGTGTGGTGGCATGCACCTTTAGTCCCAGCTACTCAGGAGGCTGAGGCAGGAGAATTGCTTGAAGCTGGGAGGTGGAGGTTGCAGTGAGCCGAGATTGTACCATTGCACTCCAGTCTGGCACCTGGCGAAAGAGCAAG